GGGGCCCGCCTTGGTTTACCCTCTTCTAGACCTCAGAGCCCAGATCAGGAACCTCGGAGCCCATTGGCCTCAACGTCTTCTTTTAATGTGGGGCGAAACAGGCTCAGAACGCAGAAGGAACTTACTGATAATATTAGTTTCCAGTTTTATGGCTCTTTCAAGTTTACAAAGCAGTTTATGCGCATGATCTCGTTTGAGCTGTGCCCTCCGGGGCCTCCTTGTCCTTCTCTATGAAGTGAGGAGGTTGGCCCTGATGGCCCCTGAGGCCTGTGCCCTTCCCTGGCACCTGCTGCCCTCCCCCCCCCCGGGGGCATTTACCCAGCATCCTACGTGATGCCGTTGTATCCAATGAATGAAGCCCACATTTCAAAGGTTTGTGGAGTGTCGCATCTGGAGGGTACCTTAGGGACCACGCAGCTAGGCCAAGCCCGTATTTTACAGGTGGGGAAAGTGAGGCCTGGGGGGAGGCAAGGACCTGCTCAAGGTACTCTATTTCCTATCTCATGCCCATGCTCCAAATATGTTCTCTCTTCATTGAATACAGTCTGTCAAGATTGAGCTCCACATTTAAACTACATGAAACCTTTCTGAACATGTGCCCCCCCATCTACTTAAGAAGAGCTGTGACATTTCAGTCAGTATCCCAAGTACCTAGCAGAGTGCCAGACACACAGTAGGTACTTAAGAAATGCTTGCTGATTGCCTGAAAATAAGTCTAGCTCTTGATTTGATCTATACTTTTGATATGAAACACCATCACGTTCCCAAGCCCTGCAGTTTGCATTTTCTGCATTGTTTTACACACTTTTGTGTTTCATAGGGGCAGCTGGGTGGCACTGCGGGGGACAGAGCCCTGGACCTGGAGTCAGGAAGACTCATCTTCTTTTATTCAGATCCAGTCTTGGACACTTACTAGCTGTGTGACCCTGGGCAACTCACTTAGTCCTGTTTGCCTCAGTTTTCTCATCTGTAAAATGAGCTGGAGAAGGAAATGGCAAACCACTCCATATTCTCTGCCAAGAGAACCCCAAATGGTGTCACACAAAGTCGGACACAAGGCAACAACAAAATGATTCATTAGGGCAATGATTTTCCTAACCTTGAACACTTAGTCATAGTCAATTTTTAAAAATATTTTGCTGTGCTCAACTTCAACATAGATGTAAATGCGCCACCAAATACCCTAACTTCCCAGTACCTCAACCCACTCAGTTCTCCTGCTCTACCCCCTTGCTCCACATGGGATGGTTATACCCTTAAACTTACCATCACCCACAAATGTTCCACTTCTGAAATTCCTTTATCCAAGTGGCTAAAGGCCACGCCATCTTTCCCTCTTAACTTCAATGCCTACTCCTGTACTTTTGTTTCATCACTTCAAAAACTGGAAGTTATAGTCTCTAAGCCCTCAATTCTAGCCGGAAGTACCCAGGGTACATACAAGGTTATTGTTTCACTCACAGCTTGTTTCCCTGAGCAATGGCTGAACATTCATTGTTCCCCTGTGTTGAATTCAAGATCACTTCTAGCAGGAAACCATCTGGGCCCAAGGGCTCTTAGAATTACTCTTACTTTGTCTAAGAACATTTCTTCCTAAATGCTTGACCAAAATCACAACCTTTGGTTTGTGAAGGATTAAGGTCATTAAAGGCCTGAAACTCCAGAATGACAACCTAAGGTCTGGGTCACGGAACCAGTCTTAGCTTTTGGAAAGTAAAGCCTTTGGAATCCATATTTTCCTTGGATCATTTCAGTCCAAACCACAAACATCTGAGGTCTCAGTTACCCTCTGAGTGAAACTTGGCTTCTAAAAGGCCTTGACTCCATCCACTCCCAGCTTCTGTTACCTTGGGCAAAGAGTGTCTGAACAATATAGCCCTAACACCTAATCCTTCCTTGTTTTCATTCCTCTGAGAACCCAGGATCACTTCTCACAAGGAGGTATCTAGACAGAGTGCTTTCTAGGATGACTTATAGTTTGCCCGGTAACATATCTTTCTAAACAGCTTTTCAAACTCAGGACATCAGTTTAATTATTTTATTTTATACACAATTTTAATTATAATGACAGGATATCCCATAACTTCTGAAATACAAAATGAAGTCAATGACCACAGTTATTTGCTGCATTGAGTTTGTATGGAAATTTTATATTATATATGTATATATAAAAGTATAACAGTTTTTTAGTACTTGATGGGGAAGGAATTATAATAAAAAAGTCAATATGAAATCATTTAATTATTAGTAATAATAGCTAACATAAAATACATTCATGTTCTTTTGTATAATTATATTAGGATCGAGTACATTTATTGTCACATTATAACCGCTATTACAGAGGAAAAATACTATTGTCTTATTCTCCAAGGGATATACACGGGGCAATTTTTTTCTCCAGGAAACTTATACAAACCATTTTAAGATCCAAATTCTTCACATAATATATTGAGACCAGAAGAAGTCTCTTCAGACATGTTAATTTTTCAAAGTCTGAAATGCACATACTTTCCAATTAAACAACAGTTTCTTCATTCCTATAATCTGGCTATTCCCTAAAGTTTTATAAGTCATTAAATATCAACTGAGCTGTAATAGAATATTTGATTTTTTTCAGCAGTATCCAACTCTTTGTGACCCCATTTGGGGTTTTCTTGGCAGAGATGCTGGAATGGTTTGCCATTTCCTGCTCCGGCTCATTTTACAGATGAGGAAACTGAGGCAAACTGGGTGAAGTGACTTGCCCAGGGTCACACAGCTAGAAAGTGTGTGAGATCACATTTGAACTCAGCAAGAGATGCCTTACTGACTCCAGGCCCAGGGCTCTATGCACTATGGCGCCACCTAGCTGCCTTGTAATAGAATATATAAATGCAAACCCTTGATCATATACAGATATATACAGATTCAACAGATGCTGAAGATACAGCCAAGTAGGGGAGGGAGGAGAAGCAATGAGACCACGAGGAGAACATCGAAGATGTAACCATCCTCATAATTCATAATAACCCTTCCAAGACGGTGGGAGTTAGAGTCGCTTCCTCCATGGATTGCTGATCTCCCTTATTTGGGACAGATATCACAGGTGTTTTTCAGATATCACATCTGTCCACGGCTGAGCCCCATCACAGCCCATTCAAAGTTGTGTTTGTGCCACTGGGAACAGCACCAAGGGTCAAGGCTACAATGCACTCGGCCAGGCGCTCTTTAATTTTACAACACTCCACCAATGATTCATATTCATTACTCACTTTGACAGAAAATTGTTGATATAAGGACAGAAACTGTTAATACCAAATACACTGTTACCTGCCATTCCCTGAATGATCCTAGCAATGTCAGGATCCAGCTCAAGCTGGATCTAGGCTTATGATGTCCTTGCCCCCTTCCAATGGGATTCATGTCATGAATGGCAAATCAGCCAGAATGAAATGGTTCTCCTCATTTGGACTGCTGAGGGTGGCTGGGATCTCATAAGCAGGCCTTGCTATCTCATGTTACCTCCTCCCCCTACCTCCTCCCAAAACTATAAAAACTTTTTCCTGGGTTTCTTTGGTTGGGAAATCCACTGGACATCCCCAGAGTGGCAGGTTTGCTGCCCTGCTATCTCAATTAAAGATGCTTTATTCCTCATCTCATGGCTTTGATTTATTTCAGGACTTGACAACTCATATGGCTATGATAATATTCTCATTCTCCCAGTTCACAGGATCTTAGTGCTCACGTCTACTCAGTGGTTCTCGTTCTTTCCATAGTCATTCAGGGGCCACAAATAACCAGGTGATAAACACTTGTCAGCTCTTTTTAACTAGGGTAATCAATAGTGAACAAAGACCTCCTGTATTCCCAGATTTCCTTCTTTTAACAGTTTCTTAAGATCCAACGTACCACTAAAAACCCAGACTTTGAAGTTCCTTGAAAGCAGGGTGTAAGGAAGGTGAATTTTAGTGTGTGTAAAGTGGATTTTTTGTCATTCTTTCTTAGAGTTTTCTTCCCAGGATCCATAGCCACACCAATCTTTACTTCCCAGGTGTTAGATATGAGTTCTCACGATCATGGTTCAAAACAGTTTCTATCAGTTTGCGCAGTAGATATAGGGATGAAGTGATGTAAAATTATGAGGCTATTGCTGGCAATGTGCTTTCTTTGTTGCCTTATAAAACAAGTGGGCACTGGTCAGTGACTGGGGACCCCCCACAGGGGTCAATATGCAAGCTGAATACTGTGGGTGCCTTGATTGGCCCCCATCGAGGCTTGGGAGGGGGAAATCTGTGTTTG